CTTTACCATGTGACTTTGAAGTTCTCGGCATAAAGCACGGGGATTCGACCATTCTCCATGAGAGGGAAGAAAATACGACCATGCTCAACGAGATGGAAGAAGGTGGAACTGAACTCTTCTACCGGTAGTAAATTACAGGATTTGAGAATTCAGAAAATTTTGATCTTCTCTCACCAGAAAAGATATCGGACTCGCAAATCACAGGATTTGAGAATTCAGAAAACTTTGCCTCTCTCACAAATGAGAAGGTATCTAATACCATGTTTCTTCTGGGAATTCCAAAAGCAGATTTGGATGTATGGTCATGAGAATATTCTATTACTTTAACTCCCCCTAGGTAAGCATTTACAAGGCCCAATCCCATTATCCAATCACCAAAGACAACAACTACGATTTTCTGTTGCTTTATTGGACTATGTTGGGTTAATGGACTAATCTTATTGGGCCAAGCCCATTGATAATTGATGAATAGAGGGGGATATGTTTTTTGAGATCGGGGAAGGTGACGGGAATACAGCGGTGGTTGGTCGGAGTGTGTGCTCTCCGTCGGGAGGGATGGCTGGATATTACGACTTGATTCCAAGCTTTACCCCTTGCCAACACTTCGATCTATACCCGCGAGCGAGATGTTGTGAGGACTAGGATAATTGACGTCGGATCTCAGCAATGGAGAGGGAGATGGACACATCACTATTTTAGCACGGGACTGAGACACATCAAGTCGGAATGCATTGGCGACGATGCTTTCGCCGGAAGATTTGACAGGTTCGGCGGTGGCTCGGGTGGAGGAGGAGGGCTCGACCGCAACAAATCCATCATCTCAGGTGGGGGATTAACGAGAGTCCCCGGAGCAGACGGTGAGGCCAGGAACAATCGAATCTCGCACGCGAAGGCCATGAACGAAGAAACGGATGATGTCGGGGAAAATCTCGGATGAGTTTGTAAATGATCTGAGATTCCTAACGATTGCAGATCTTAGTCGAGAGCCATGACGGAACGATGACCGGAGTTACGAAAATCACTTCGATATTTGCTGGCGTCCACCTCGTGAACCGTGCTTGGGAGATATTTACCCGCGT